AGCACCCACCAACTCATCTCACACAAGCCACGGCACTGCTCAATCTGACATCCCTTGCTTCCGCACGTTTCCTTTTGCCTGAGTTAGAAGCTGACACAGAGGTCAGAGCCTCCGTACCCTATTCCAGCATGAGCCATCATGTTTAAGAGACCCTACCCCAACACCTGCGACTGGAATACAACAAACAGCAGCCTTCCCAGAGCCCAGCAGAGATCAGGGCTACATTCTGCCCGGAGTCGTAACCATCCCTGGGGAGAGCAACACCTGCATCAAAGAGCTTACACCCTGGCAAAAAGACAAGCGAAGAGATCGGGACCCTCACTTTGGAGCTGAAGAACAGAGATAGACTTAGTTAAGGTTGTACAGGGAATGCGTGGCAGAGGCAGACTGAGACAGGGTCTCTGTTTTTCCGTCCACCCTGATATGGATTTAATGCAGAATGCACTCACATAGAAGCCAAGGTACTGAGAGTTTTTGCTTGGGTGGAAGTTTTGGTGTTCAGTTTCAGAGCTGCCTTAGCTTTCTCTCCTCCACTGCCAGGGGACTGTAGGTGTCTTGCAGAGGCAGTGGAAGAAGGTGGCTCATGCTGACATCCCTCCACAGGCACAAGCTGGCTGAAGTTGAGGATGGAGGGGAGAAGAATGACATTCACAGGAGTGTCTCCTCAGATGGGACACTTTGCAAGACCACAAGAGCAGACGCATCATAGCTCCTTACCACTTTCATTTCCTTGGGGTTTAAAGGAAAGGTTCTTTCTTACCCTCAGAGAGAAGATATCTGCTTTATTGCTTCCTAATGCACTCGGGTAGGTCACCCAAGCCGTGAGGGTTAGATAACCCTGCTACCATTGGCACCCAAGTCAGAAGCAGGCCAAAATCCCAGCTTTCTGGCTCCATGTGCCCTCCCCATGAAACCGCTCTCCTCTACCTGGCTGCTGCTCTTCCAGATCCCAGACCCGACAGAGCTGGGTGAAGGTGCTGGGGCAGCCAACCACCACCGTCCCAGGGACGGATACCAGCAGCTCCCAAGGCAGCAGTAATGCTGTCGGACTGTCCTATATTGCACCCACACATACGCACCCCAGCTCCTCTCCCCGTGTGCTGGGATGCCCATCACGCACCCCGCCCTGGGCTCCTGGCAGGCTGGCCAGTTCCCCGTGTTCCAGGGTGGGGAGGGAAGATGTTCAGAGCGCCTGCAGCTATTCAGTTACCGATGGTTGTGTTTGAAGAGCTTCCCTATCGCCCTTTTGTTAAAGCTTTGGCTTCCCCCCCATAGCCTCAACAGATGAAATCAAAGGGAAGTAGCTTTGCTTGGTGTAACCTGTTTTGATCAAGCAGATAAACGGGGAACAAGTGTCTGACACAAACAAACAGACAGACGGAGGCAAGTCCCACCTCAGCATTTTGTTGCATCAGATACAGAGGGCTTAGATAAACCACAAGAAGGGGGAGATCTCTGCCTCTCGGCTTGAAGACCAGGGGCGACACTCTGCAGTGCCAAGCCCCCACAGTTCCCATAAAAAAAATCAACCCAGAACTTGCTGGCATGGCTTTCATCAGTTTAAAAAGATGAAAAGAGCTTACAGCCAAGCATAAAACTCACGCTTGTCATTACCCCCCATGGAGTCAGCAGGACTGCCTGCAAGCACAGCCACAGCTGCCTCATGCCAAGTGTTAAACCACACTGGCATCACATATAGGAAAGGGTAAAGAGGACCCTCAAACTGGAGAGATGACCCAGTGCTTGGACTGGGGCTGACCTACATGTCTCCTGGGCGATGGGGGAAGGCAGTCAGACCCATGGCCCTCGTGGGAGAAACTCATGCCTATTCCCCTCTTCCCCCTCACACACATAAAAGGCAGAGTTAAAGTAAAGGAAGGATTAAGATTCACAGGACTCGGCAGGGTAGGTGATATTCCTTAGCATTGGTTTTGTTTTTTGGGTTTTTTTTCTTAATCATAGCTGTTTGTAAAATGGCAAAATTTCACCACAACCAGTAGACATGGTGGGGTGGAATGAAACAAACATAGAGTTTTGGAGAACATCTTACTAAAAAGCTTTGAAATATTTTCTATGAAATTGGTGTGGATGAAAAAAGAAAACAAAAAGCTTAGCTTTCCTAACCTCCTATGAAAGATGAAAAATTTTGACAATTTTCTCAAAACCGAAAAACCCCCACGATTATTTTAAACCCTTTCAAAGTAAAACAATGCCCCGAATTACCTTTTTTTCCCCTCTAAGCCTAGAACTGGCAGAGATATGAAAGGGTGAGATTATGCTTCTGCTACTGACACTTCCCATCAGATCTTTAGGCATCAGTTTTAGATCAAGGGCTTGGTTTACAAAAGCATTTTGGCACCCAACTCCCTTCAGAATTTTTTTTTTTTTAATTCTTCTTGGAGCCAGTCTGCATCTTTTGGTGATGAAAGGCCTTTGTAAATATGCACCTAGAAGGATTTCCATTCTTTATAAGCTAGAATATTGTTAATTTGGTAACTGCCCTCTCCTTTGGGGGTAATAAGATTCCTGGGGAGCTGTGTGGCTTGGTCCAATTCATTAGGAAATGGGTCTTCAATTAATGAGTCATTGGAAAACAGATTTTCCCACATGAAGCTAGTAAACAAAACACTAAACTATTAGATGTTGCAGTAAATATTCCTCTAACGATGTGTATAAGGGAAAATAAAAACTTCCAAGTAAGTTCAGTACAAAGAGCTTTGTTGCTTATAAACAGAACGGTCGGAAAGAGGAAAAAAAACAAAACAAAAACCTGACAAAGGTGCGTAGCGGTTTTAGGTAAAGCATCGAGGCAGACCCTCCGTGGGCTTGGCTGGTGGTGACTGCCGGTGGGGCTGATGTGCCAGGTTACATCACCTGAAGTAAAACATCTATGGCTGAGCAATAGCGTGTGATCCTGCCCTGGCCACCCTCTTCTCTGAGGGTCCTGCAAGGGACCGGTCACCCCGCAGCAGGGGCTAGGGCTGTTTGCTACAGAGTCCCACAAGAAGGTCCTGACTCTGCAGCGTCTCTCATCACAGCTAGGTCTGATGTGGTGATCTCTGAAGATCCCCAACAGATCAACGAGTTACGGGGACTGCATTAGAAAAAATAATATTTTAAACAGGTTCCTTGTATCAGTCTGCAGGGAATTGTCACTTCTGCAAACCAAGGAGATTTGCTTGTTCTGATTTCCCTGCTTGATTTGAAGACTCCTAGAGCTAATGCTGCTGCAACCATTTTTGTTATTTTAAAACAAATTGACTTCACTTCTCTGCTTTCTTTTCACAATTACCACTAGAAAGAGGCGCTACAGCTAACACTAATTGCTGTCTGGGAAGCTTAAGCTGAAAACCATATTTTATCCAATCAACTGTGGTGCTAGCTTCTCGCCTATTTAACACCACTGACTACAACATCAGCAGCCAGAGTCTCCCACTACATTTAGTAACAGCCAATACCAAAACCAAATATCAACTCTCATTACAGCCTTCCCTAACCTTGATTCAACTATGCTATCCATCAACTCTGTGTGCCAAGATGCCTGAAACATTTCAGGAGACTCTGGTTCCCAATTTAAGGCCTTGTAACAGGTACCAGGGTTTTTTGAAAGAGCTTGGGAAGTTGGGGACCTGTTTGTTGCTAGGTAGCTTGGAAATACTAATCTCAAAAAATAACTTGGGGTCATCTGAAAGTCCTGAGCAGAAGCTGGCCTGACCAAAGCCAATTAGAGTTCATGGACTTGAACAGACCAGATTTTATCTCTACCTTAGATTATGTCAAATAACCCAGCTTAATAGCTAAGAGCACAGAGGATTTCTAGTCCTCAGTGTAAGGTGTAAATAAAGGGGTAGTTTTAGTCCCGCTAAAACATGCCTAGAGTTCTCTGGCTTTACCAAGATCTCATTTTTTCAATGTTATCTCAAATGACAGAATTAGAAGAGAAACAGTAAAATCATTCCACGTGAAGTTTTAATCTGTTGTTACACAGCCCCTCCACCCCAAGCTTAGGGCTCTTCATTACTCAAAGAACAATGATTCCTCTATATTGTCTCTACTAGTTTTGTTTTTAAAAGGTGTTTATTTCTAAGTCTGTAGATGAACCTCATGGTGTCTAATAATCTTAATTTGTTATACCTAGTGGGTGCTAAAATATTTCTTATTGCTGTTTATTTGCCTAAAAAGTAATTTGACCACGAGCCTTTGTGAAATTACAGACTCGAGGTCTTGCATTCAAAGCCCAGTACAGGCAGTGGCAGTCAGAAGTGATGCCAGAAAATACAAAACTGATTTTTCTGGTGTATATCACACCTTGTGGCAGTGCAGAAGTTGGTAGGTAACCTGGCAGAAATTATTGTGAACACTAGTGCTATCAGCTTCAAAGGATCACCCTGTTCTTCAGCTTTCCATATTCAAGGAAAACTGAGGCTTCTAGACACAGAGCAGCAAGAGTCTGAGCAGCCATCAGGTGGGAGTGGCAGAGATGAGAAACCCAATCGTGCTTCAAGATCAAGAACGATAAATTTTTGCTGGAACTACCTAGCTGGATTTGATTATTCGCAAAGTCCCTCCCATTTTTCTTCATATACGTGGCCAAAAAAGGCTTAGATCCCTGGAGAGTTTTGTCTAAGGAAGAACTCTGTGTAAAATGAAGAGCTGTTTGTGCTAAACTGAGCAGACCGAGACTATTTCAATGGCTTTATTCCTTTGGCAAGATGTGACTGTATTTCCATGGTAAAACTGCAGAGGACATTACTGAGACACACACTGATTCACTGCTGTTACAGAAGGGTCTCGCACGCTGATCGAGATATGAACACAATCCTAGCCCAGAGCGCGTTCTTGACCAACTCCCAGGCTGGCTGGAAGAGTGCGATGTAGCAGCAACAGGAGTCAAGCAAAGCACGGGCAGAAACTTCCAGCACACACCCCCCTCTTTTCTTTTCTTTCCCTTCCCTCCTCGGGCTCCCTTGCCTGCCCCCCACATCCCGGACCCTCCTTACCTGGCTCCACCTGGTCAGGTTCATGCCGAGTATCTGTGGAATCTGCCGCATCACCGCTCATCTTGATCTCTGGAAAAGGAGGCACAACTGATTTTAATAACAGGTCACAGTCCCAGGCAACAGGCACATGTGGCTTCCACTAAACAGCACAAATGAATGTGTAATTATAATAAACCATCAGACTTTCAAATTTCTGGTTCCTCAACATACAGTCACTAGAATATTCATCAGCTCCGAGGATGCACTTTCCCTCCTGTTGCTCTTTGCATCCCCCTCATTCCTTTCCCCCCTCCCCAGTTTGCTGCTGTGTTCTCGCCTTCCGCATCATTCCTCTCCTGCGCAGAGCGTGAGGGGTTGTTTAACCTCCCAGCCCCAGTGGCCTATTCCCGAGCTTCGTGCAGGCTTCCCAAACCAGCTGGTGTGGCTCTCAGTTTGACACCGTCCTCCACCACACCTGTAGAGGCAGGGGAACCCTCCCAGCTTTCCCATCCTCTCCCGCATCCACTCCTTGTCCCTGGGCCAGCGCTTGGTGCTGCACAAAGCACATGCAGGGTGGTCCAGCCTCAGCAAGGCAGGCACAGGGCAAGATGCTCTCAGAGAGGGAAGCGAAGCCCCTCTTCTACTCTCCCTTCCTTGCAAACTCAGCTTGTTTCTCTCATTACATCTGATCCCTATTTGCAAACTACTTACCCTGCTTTCTCCCACATCCCGGTGCTCACACCCCTTGCAAACCACGAAGAAGCTGCCTTGCTCCAAAGCACTGTCCCCAACCCAGGAGCAAGAGTGCTTTGCCATCAAGCTCCTGCAGATTTCCCCCCATCCTTATCAATGCCAATGAATTTGTCATTTACCCTTGAAGTGATGGCTGCCACCACACCCGGGGCCACGTTCTCCTTCAGGGACAGCTGAAAGAAAAGGTGGGAACAGTCAACTTTACACTGGGTTGCTCATCTCCTGCTTAAAAGAGGCAAAGTACCCATCAGTGAAAGAAGGAAGAATACCTATTCAAATTCAGATGGACACCCCCTCAGCTATTCTACCCTTTGCATGGGAATTTTAACTCTTTCCAGGCTAGTTGGGGATAAAATATATAGTAATAATTTTTTTATAGAGAACCAACTGATTTGCATGTGCTTCCTGCAGCCAATCCTGGCCACAGAAGTCATCTGATTTGCATCGGGTAATAACAACAGTGTGGAAGCTGGGCCAGCGTTTGCTGTGGTTTTGCTGGGGTAGAAAAGGCAGGTGGAAGCCTTCTTAAAGGTATCACGCAAACCTTTTCCTCTTTCCTATATATGCCTTATATTATTCCCCAACAGCCAAAAGGGTGAGAAGAACCCTATAGGTTTTTATACTCGTTTCCCTCTATTACTCACACTAAAACAGGCAGGCCTTTTTGCTTATTCTGGTTTTCTTTTCTCCTATTGAGACTTCCAGTGTGCAAATTGCAGATGATCTGCTTTTTGGTCAAAACTGAATAGCTTTGTTTAGGTTAAAGTTTGAAATATTTTCTTCAGTAAGTGAATAAAGGAAGAAAAAAATGACAAGATTTTATACCAGAGACAGAGTGCAGAAACATTCACATGCTTCCTTTCCTTAAATTGTATTAAGGAGTGAGGAGGGGGAAGGAGACAGAAAAGAATTGTGGGATTATTTTTTTTTGCCCCTTCAAATAAACCCTCTGCAATTAAGACATGAACATTCAGTGGGGCTTCTAAGCATTTCTACTGCAGGAAGAGTAATTATCATCAGCTATAAACATTTTCTTTTCTTGTAATACTGCCAAGGGACCCTAACTTAGGCAATCTACAAAGCACAAAGTTCCACTTGCTGCCAAAAAGTATTAAAAAAAAAAAGCCAAGTTCTCATAAAATAGAGTAAGAAAAATCTTAAACTATGCAGAAGTTCGGTGCTTGCTTTAGTGAGAAAGTCTGCAAGTTTGAAAGAAGAGTAAAGTAACGCAGGTTTCATTGTGAGCAAACAAATAACAAATTAATGCATTTTAGTGAAAGAAAACTATCTAATTCCCAAGAGCAAGGAGCCCCTTATGGTCATAGAGCAAGACAGAGCCAAAGAAGGGAAGATGCAAAAGCAAACCACAAGAAGCTCTCTGCCTCTTGCAGGAGTAAGCCCTCAGCCCCTCTGCCATTTATAACCCAGGGTGGGTGGGGAGGAAAGAAGGAATTGCAGCTGCAACTTGGTTACATGTCACATGCTATCCATCAGTTAACTTCCCTCCTCCTGGAGTCAGGAGATAACAAGGTACCCTGTGATTCTCTCATACATAGAGCAGAAGAATTTTATTTCACAAAGATTCAAATTCCCATCATAAATGTACACAAGTTCTTACAGTTTAAATATCGGGGCGGGGGGGATACGGACGGGACAGGAAGAAAAAGAAAACGCTTTTCATCAAAGCCTACTGCTCTGAGTGGTTTGGGGCTGGCCAGCTTTTGTATCCTTATGGACAGCAGTGCAGCACCAGACATCCTCCAAGGGATCCTTGAGAACAAGGAGCAGACATACAGAGGAATTACTTTCTAATATGATATAAGTGTAACCAAGATAAAGGCAACACCATTTTATTTACACTCAAGAGTCTTCCACTATAAACGAGGACAGAGTGATGCCTCTGGATTTGACCCCCTCTCCATATGAAAAAAAATCTCAAGACAAGACAGGCTGTGAGACTTCGAGTCCAAATAATGCAGGCTCCTTCCATTCAGCTTTGCCAGGTTGGCAATATACAGAGAATATGCAGGCTAGTAAAAAAATCTCTGGGAAAAATAATGCAACTTAGGACTGCCTAACTCCTAACCACAGCCCTATTAGAAGCCGCCACTGCGGCCTGGGCCATATTAAAAATGTGCTGCTATACCTCAGCTAGCAAACATACCTGGAGTAGGGGTAGTCTGGTTTGTTCACTTAGACCAAAGAAACTATACCAGTGCAGACACTTCTCTGGGGATGTATCTGCATCTATATTTTTGCTGAAACAAATGGTGTCAGCAAATAAAGCTTTCCCAAGCCCTTATTCCTCATAGTTGTTCAGACATGGGTGCTAGGGTAAACCAGCCTGATGACTTTCAAAGGAAAAACAAAAGCTGGTGGGAAGGGGGGGTGGGTGGAACTCAGCTTGGCCAAGACCATTACCTGGAACCTATTGAATTTTCTGTACCAGAGGTGCCCAAGCCCCTCTGGAGGCTGTGGGAAGGTGAAATAGCCAAATGCCTGGGGAGGAGGCAGTGGTACACGCCAGGGAACGTGCTGCTGCAGGGAAATCCTCTTGGCAGGGAGGAGGGTGTGCGGAGCAGCCCACCTTCACCTTGCACGCTGCATCTCCTCTGCACGGCCAGGGAAGAAAGAGCAAACCTCTGCAAGCAGCTGGCTGCAAGGCCTTGCTGTTCAGGGACCCCAAGACTGAACACGCTGAACTGCCTTTGCACAAGGGTAAAGAAACACCCTCCCACCAGCGCTGGGCTCTGGCACATGAAAGTGGTTGGGCCCAGGCTGGCCTCCCTCCTTGCAAAAAGACCGCTTAAATCTTCGGTCCTTCTGACAGACGGCAGGGTGGGATGATTTGGGAGAATGGAAGTTCAGCACGCACCCAGCTCTGCGCAGCTCCTGGCCAAATCCACCCTGGGAGTGATGCCACTGGCTTTGACAGAGGGCACAGTATCAATTTTGGGAATCTTCTCATGAAGACAGAGTCGCCCACAAGCAAAGCAGATGGGTGGATAGGAGCCTGCGGGGGATGCGTCCCTGAGAGACACCACACACAAGCACACCCATCACAGGTGCTCAGACTAGTCAGGCTCACACGCCGAGCCAAGACCACGAGCCTCACACCTCCTGCAGCCTCTCCTTGCAGCCGGCCGCGCAGCGCCGAGGGATCCCCAGCTGCCCTCCCCGTGGCTGGCACAGGGAGCCAGCCTGCTCGGTGGGGGACCAGCCAGCCTCAGAGGGGCTGCTGGCATCCCAGAGGGCCGGCCTGCTCGGTGGGGTACCAGCCAGCCTCAGAGGGGCTGCTGGCATCCCAGAGCCATGGAGAGGCTGCAATGCAGCCATGGAGCGGAGGCTTTGGCCATCTTTGCCGTCCCACTGCAGGCTGACACTGTTAGGTGATGGCATTGCTGCAGCATCTGCCTTACCCTGCAGGCCTGTCTGTGAGCCCACATGAAGGCAGGGCCTGTTGAGGGGCTACAAGCACTGAGCACGAACCCCTAGGTCTTCCCTGCACAGCAGGACCACCAAACTGCTGCAAGCCAATAGGTATGCAAAGGGAATGAGCCTGGGACCGACCGATGGATGTATCCACCCTCTCCCCTCCAAACCTGGGGACAACACGCAGTGTCTTGTGCTGCAGAAAGCACCGGACACAGGTCACTAGCAGGGCACACGGCTCCCGTATCCCAAACACCCTGCTGCCTGACCCTACCACAGAAGGGCTGTCAGGATCTGGCCTTCACTGCTGCCGCTGCTCTGCTCCTATCCCAGCGTCACCCCCAGCTCCAGCATGCCCAAGGATGCAGTCCTCCCGCTCGAGCACAGGGGCTTCAGCTGAGGGCAGAAGCTAAACTCACTCTGTCAGAGCGAGCCAGAGCTCAGCACAGCTCCAAGGGATTTGGCAGTGTTCGTTTTTCTTCCCCGGATAATGGCAGACGGGAGGTCTGCTCAACAAAGGTGTGAGGCTACCTTCTGGATCAGACCCCCTGGAAGGAGTCTCTCTCTTTCCAAGCATCCTTGTTCATTCATTCCTCACTCAACCCAGCCTCCTACAGCTCCCTCCTCATTCATTTCTTCCTCCTTTTCCCTCTTTGTCATTAACTTTTCTCCTTCCGACCCACATCCCATCTCGCTCTCACTCTCAGACACACACCCCCCTCCACCCTTGCCGCATCCCTCTGTGAATTTATCCCCTCTCACTCCTCCCAGCTTTATCCCAATGACTGGATCCACAGGTCAAGCACTAAATGCTCATTTTCTAGGTACCCAAGAGACTTCTGCGCTCTGCTCCCTGACCCACGTTAGGGCTGGCAGCGCGCGCGGTGCGCCCACATTGTGGGCATGGCTTGGCAGCCCCCTAAATAGGATCAGGGCAGCATCCATCCCCAGGTAGGAATGCGGGCACTTAACCAGGCACTAGCTGCGATAGCTGACTCCAGCAGGAGAAAAGAAGAGGGAAAGGAGGGAGGAAAAGTCACAGGAATCAGAGCAATCCCATTTCCTGCCCAAGTCCGCGGTCTCAGCTACATGGTGAGCTCCAGCCCGATCCTTCCTCAAGTGCTCTTTACCTGCGTGCACAGACTCCAGGTTCACCATCCTGCTGGTGGAGGGAAATCCACGGTGTGCCCAGCCTCCTGCCGTCAGCCCCAGGTTGCCAGGGGCTGCCAGTTTGCCCTCCCTCCTCTGCCACCCGCTGCCTCTCAAACCGGGCGTGGGTCCGTTCCCGAAGGGACCTAGAGCTCCATTGCCTGTTGCCATGCAGGGCCAGGTGAGCATGCGGCGCCGCGCCACGCCTCGCCCCACCTCCGGCTCCCTTGGGTGCCCTGACACCCAGCAGCCTGGCGCCCGGCCCATGCAAAAGCACCCATTTGCATATTAGTAACTCGGGAATGGATGAGTCCCTGCAGCGCTACCAGGGCGTGGGGTGGGGTGGGAAGGAGGGAGGAAGGAAGGCAGGCGGTTTGCCCGCCCTCAGCTGCGCAGATGCACCCCACAGCACCTGCCTGCTGGGCTGCAAGCAGGGGGCTTTGTGGGGGCTCCGCCATCAGCCCCAGATCCGAGTTGTCCCGTCCTGGATGGGCTTTTGGCTCTGCCCCTTGCAATGCACGGGGAAGAGAGGCCAAGGCATCAAGCCAGGCTGGGCAGCAGCCACCAGCACCCAGAAGGGAAGGCATCTGAGCTGCGGGAGCAGCCCCTCCAGTGAGCAGTCCTTTCACTTCGTTTCTGGCCGCTCTGATAAACCCTGGGGTCTCAGAGTGAGCCATGAGAGCAGCCTGTGTGGTTGAGTCCTTGCAGTCCCTAGGTCTGGGCTGAACCCGAATGATGCCATATGAAACAATCAGCACGAAAAGGAAAGTTAGGAGCAGAAGGGTAACCTGACTTGGCTAAAGACACAGGGCAGGGTTAGGATCAGCACATGGAGACTCCGCTTTCCTGACCTGTGCTCTGTGTGGTTCGTCAGTCCCCCAAGAAGAGGAGAGAAGTGGCAGACAGCCTCTTCCTCCTCCATGTTGTTTAAAGCTGCAGTATTTAACCGACTTCCAGGGAAGCCAGGAAAAAAAATCCCCCTAACGTTGGCTTCTTCTGTAGGAAGCTGCCAGAGGCCAGATCCTGAGCCTACGCTCAGTGCTGTGACGGGGACCAACAGTCACCCTGACGGACCCTGGCCCTGCGGTTGCTCCCTGTCCCTGCCGTGCACTACCTTATGACCCCCACCACAGCCCGGGGTAGCAGGATGCCTGCGCTAAACGCCTGAGCTCCAGCGCTGCTCAAACCCCTCCTGAAAGCGTTAACACGCTCAATCGGTAGCTGCCAGGTACAAGCTATCACACATTCATCTCTCCCTGGCTAATTCACGTTCCAGGGCTCTCTGCTTTCCCACATACTGCTCTCCCTCCCTGGAAAGACAGGTTTCTCTGAAGAGATGGGTGGGCGGTCGGGCAGGCTCTGGAGCCTCACCTCCAACCCCATCCGACATTATGGGGCTGGAGTGCCTGCCCGCGGCTTGCGTGGTCAGAGCGGACACCCTCAGGAGAGGGCAACACGCTGGGAGGAAACGGTGGATGTGTTAAACGAAACTCTATAACAAGGAAAAAGTGGAGGAAAGTGGGGGGAGAAATGGAAGGGGGAAAGCAGGGAGGAGGGGAAGTTCCCGGGTCAGACTAACGTTTGCAGGACAGGGTGCGAGGGGACATTTCTGCAGGCTCCATTGAGCGCCGCTCCAGGAAGCAGAAAGGTGACATGGGGTGGTTTGCGCAGGCAGCTTGTTTCGAGCTGCTCGAGGGGCTGGACTCCTGCCACCTATCCCCAGCCTGTGGCGGAGCCCCAGCTATTCAGGCCCTGGTCCTCGGGGCGTTCCTGGGCAGCTCCTGGTCTGTTTTCTGGTGTTTTCGGCATGACCCCCACGTCTGGGTTTTCCCCATCTCGCAGACTGACGCGATCAGGTGTCTTCACTGCGTCAAACATGGATTTGCTGGTGGCTTCCAGCCAGCTTGAAGGGCCTCTGGGACACAGGAGAAAGGCCCTGGAAAGGCTGGGGGACCAGGAGAGCTCTCCTCGCCCCCACATCAGAGCTCCTGTTGTACACCAGACACTGATCTTTTCCCTCTGCTTCCTGCTGCTCTTCCCTCGCTCCGGAGCCGAGCAGCCTGTCCCGGAGCCCCAGGGCATCCCCCGGCCATGGCCAGGGCTGCAGTGTCCTCTCCCGGCCCTGCTGATGCTGCCAGGCACAACCGGGAGTCCTCCAGCCACCGCTCCCGCTCTGCAGCCGGCGGGATCTGGCCTTCTCGGACCACTATTTTGTAATCAATGGAACAGCAGGAAAAAATCGGTATTGATGCGCTTTTCTCCCGAAACGGCTGCGGGAGCAAAGCCGGTTACCTCGGTACCCTTGGCTTCGGTGATGTGCTATGCAAGGAAGAGAGAATACACTCTCCATATTAAGGTACCCGAAACACCTCTGCTACCTAGAGAGAGAAAAAATAGGGGATGGATCACAGCATCATCGCTCCTTTCTGTTGTGGAAATAAGACCACCTTCTCCAGGCAAAGGCAGATCTGCTTTAACTCCGGCCTGAGATGATCTCTCCTAGGCGCCAGCAGATACGGTGCTCTTTTTTTTCCGCGGCCATCGATGCGCGATCCATCTGCTGTCATCCCCACTGTATGCATGTGCTCCTCCACTCCTGCTGCCAGTGTTTATTCCCCTGTTGGAGGAAGATAAGCTCTGCAGATAACACTCGATTTATGGAGTATGGCCTTTGGACAGGCCCTGAGAGCACAAACTGCAGGAAGATGTTACAAAATCCCCCGCTGCTTTTTCGTAGCAGCAGGGATTTACACCAGCGCTCCTGTGCCAGGAAGGTCTCCTGTCGCCACCTGCAACAGCTGCTTTATTTAAGTGCACCTTTATTTAAGGGATTTTTCTTCGGAAAGGCAAACGCAGTGCGGTGCCGCTCTCTTCTAGCAAGGCCGGGCGGACAGGGAGGTCTGGCAGGGAGCACGGCTGTAACGCGGACCACCG